TCCTAAAGGCAAATGTGCCATAAGTAACCTTGCCATAAGCCAGTTAATGCAAAGGCAATTTTCTGTGTTGAGCTTTGAAAAGCTCCTCATTTGTCTGCTGTCTGTGTACAGAGGCTGCCTAGCAGATTGTTTCCTTTAATCATACACTTTTTCTTGAAAGTGTTTTAACAGACTGAACACGTGTGAACTTTCAGCCTTTTATCATAGAACAGAATAACACATTATTATGCCATCAATTACAACTACTGAGTAGTGCTGTGCATCTTCAAAAGACATTTCACATTACTAGGCTGTCTTACAAATCTACTTTCACTACATTTGCCACCCAAGATTACAAGGAAACTGGATGTGCTATATGGGTTTCTATGTAAAGCTGCAGTAAATAGGAAGCTAATCATTTAGACGAGGCGGATAGGAGTCAAGGAAAATCGAAATTTCATTTAAAAAGGACAGTGCTCTTGCTTCAGTTCAGAGCCATCCAAACCTCTTATGTTTGCAATGGGGATAAGCTGAATTTTTCTTAAGCTGCATCTCACAGTTTTGTGTATGTGGATAAGGGAGAATTTTTCATTGATAGTAGTGGACCAGAAATGTGAAACCAGAAATACTGTAAAAAGAAAAAGAGGTGTATAATGGTCCCACTAGGCTTAAGAATATAGGAAAACTCCTAGTAATATCTTTAAAAAATGCCAGAATGTTTATACCTGCTTTGCTCAATTTGCTCAGCTAGGTGATAGCACTTGGCTGATCTTGAAAAACAATAATAGAATGGCTTAATTGGTTACTGCTTGAGTGGAAAAGTAGCAGAAAAGGTTATAGCAAGATTGAAAAAGCATAAACTGGAATAAGATAATGGCTAACAACTTCAATATCAGAGTCGCTAATTTCTGAAGCTCCTGTTTTGATGACTCTTGATTTTTCACCATGCCTAATATCAGTATTAAGACAATATATTTATAGATCCAGTACACAGAAAATCTCAAATATTTCAAGAATAGTCATATAAAGGTATTTTCTCCAGATACTGAGGACACTGCTATTCACTCCCTTTGCTACAGCTGTGTAGCAGGTTGAGTTCAAATAACAAATTCCAGAGTTAGATTATTCTTCAGCCATAAAACTTGCTGAGCATTCATGGATCAATGTTTCTCACTTAAATCACTTTACAAGCTTGTTAGGGAAAGTGCAAACTCCTTAAAGGAAAGTTGAAAGTAAAATATAATATATGAAATTTAGAACCTAGTCGATAGTGGGTTGCAAAATCTAACAGGATTACAAGAGGCAAACCAGGCAACCATGAGTTTCAGTTCCTATCTTAGGCATAAAAAATGGCTGATGACAGTCACTCTTTCTCAGCCCAACCCATCTCACAGGGTTGTGGGGGAAATAAAAGGAGGAAGGAGTATTTGGTATATTTGCCACCTTGAGTGATTTATAAACAATAATAAAGGCAGGATAAAATCAAATAAATACATAAATAAAACATTTTATCCAATCAAAGACACCTATTGCCGAGACTCATAGCGAAATAGAATATTAAGCTTAGTTCCATGTAAGATTCACTCTTATTTTCAGGGAATGGCGGTAGGAGGTCATGTGTGTAAGAATGCGTGTATACTTATGAACTTTACCTTTGGGATGATCAGAATTGCAAAATCGGTTGACATATAAAACTGTCTGAAAACTCCATCTCTCTCTCCCCCCCCCCCATCCAATTAAATGTGCAAAGACTGTTATTCATTAGTTGTGGAGATTTTTAAGACTGTGTAAGCAGCAGATAATTAGATTTGATCATCATATTTGCGCTGTGGTGTTTAAGGAAGAAAATCCACTGCTTGCAAATTATTCTCTTAGGTTTATAGTCTTGTGTTTTCCTTTTGCAAAAAGAAGGCAGGCAAGTATCACAGCACTGGAAAATTAAAATAGTTCAATACAGATTTCCTTATACATCATTTCATCTAAAAATATTAAAGATAATTAATATTTTAGAAAAGCAATGTTGAATGGATTGTTACATGCATAGCAATAAAATTGGAATCCTGAAGATACTTCAATTAAGTACTTTATGTTAAATGTATTTAAACATTTCAGCTGTCAGTGATCAAATGCACACTATTCTTGTCTGCATGTGAAGTACTACCTGATTATTTTTAAAAGTATCATTCTGAAGGTCCAAGTACATGGTTCTCAAAACTTTGCAAAGTTCTTTAAACCATGCCATTTATCTCCTCATCTTTGAAAGAGATTGTTGAAGATTAAGAAAAAGTTATATAGGCTTGTTTAATGTGCTTCCTACTTCATGTGAAATTAGAAGGAGCACATTTTACAAAATTTAAGAGAATTAGAGAGTTGGGGAAGCTTCAGAGATATGTACATACATGCAATGTATTTTAGAAATGACTCATACAGAAGATTTTCAGCAAAAAGCTTAAAGGCTCCAAAGTCAGTTTTCAGAAAGAAAAAAAAAAGGTAAATTTGGAGAACGTTGAGTTTGCTTGCTTTAACATACATCTGAAATATTTGAAGTATACAGATAATTGTGTCAAATTTTTAAGTTTACATATCTTAAATGGATACAAAAGAGCTATTTTAAACCATATTGAATTTTTAGAACACTTCATTTTGTTCTTTCTTGTAAGATTCTTTAAAGTTTGAAGATATAGTTTTAGTTTGTATTTGGTAATGATAAAAGAAATTATTTGTAGTTCAGGATTGAACTGTGGGGTCCTTGGTGCTCACTGAGCTTGGTGGTTTTCTTGCAGACATTTCATTACCAAACTAGGTAACACCATCAGTGTTAGAGGACACTTCTACCTAGTTTGGTAATATTTGCAAGAAAAACACCAAACGCAGAGAACACCAAGGACCTGGCATATTTGGTAATATTTGTTTAATTCGGGGAAGGGGCTTCCAGTAATTACTGTGTGGAACAATTTTAGTTACTCTAATTGCATAGAGATGATTTCCACATGGGCATTATATAACTTAAGCAATATCAAGTTATCTCCAGGAAACATAAAATTGCTATGCTCACAGTCAGGAAACATTAGACTGCTATACTCACAGTCATAGAATATCCCAGAGAGAATATTTATCATGAAAATGGTTCCAATCTTAAGAAAGGTATAATATATAAAGTTGAAAATTATGCCATGAGCTTAAAAGGGTCATTTTTATTGCTTTAATCAATAAAATAAAAGGGAGGGGGGACCACTAACAGTATCAACTGGAATTGCAAGCTGCCTAAACATATAGCATCAGCATTGACATATACATTTAATGAAGAACATTTTTTCTGTAATTTTTAGAGATTTTTTTTACCTACACAATAAGCTAAAAAATAATCAGAACTTTTTTTTTCTCTTACTCTAAAATCCATTTTTCTGAGTGGGATCTCTGCTTCATAGGAAGTACATACATTCATTCTGAAGGTATAACTTAATGGTCTTTTTTTTGACCAGAAGAGTATTTTTAATTTTTTTTTAGGTGCCAAGGACCCCGCTATGTATAGCAATAACAACACCACAAAAGGAGAGACTGAACATTTCCACTCTTTTTTCATGGGTGAAATGTGAGTCTCAAGGTATTTAAAGGCAAAATATTTTCACTAAGTCTAGTAGAGACTGAAGATACCTACTGTTGCCCTTTATATAAAGAAAAACAAAAATGGTACTGTTGAAAATTGTCATTTTGAAAACATAATCCTGTTCTAGGGCTGCAAAAATGAAGGGAGATCAGTCACAGTCCATGGGCTGTGAAGTTCCCATTTCTGGGACATAAGGATTCAATTGTTCATTACAGTTTAAAACCATAAAGCTTGGTTGGAAGAATTGTATTGAAAAACAGCCTGTGCATAATCCCTGTAATTATTTCTCTGATTCCAGAGAGAGTCAGAGTGAGAGAGAATGATATGCCATAATTAGGCAATAATGTATGCTTGTGGACAATTATTAGATAGCACTGACATCACTAAATACTACATTATAGACATTAATTAAGAAGTTAGAGAAGTCTGTAGGAAGTAGTACTTCAATTTCATTGTTATTTATGAACACATCAGAGTTATCTCTGCCATCCATTTTTATTTCCATCAGCATATCAAGTAGTTCCAATGAGGTCCAAACTACTTGTCTCTATGCATTTCATTTTAAATTGTATTTATTTACCATGGAATTAAATAACTTATCTTTTCAGATATTGACTATCAAGCGATGATCAGCTGAAAAACTTAGGATAAGAAAAATCTGAGATTTCATGTTCCCTTCAAATCCATGTTTCCAAAGACTGCTGCAGCAAATTCCAAACCTATTTGGAGCAGTAACAAAGAGGAACAGCATTGACCCTCCTCACATGAGCCAAGCAACGTCCTCTCGAGTATTGGAGAGTATCTCCCCCACAAGAAATCCCACCCACCCACCTTTACAAATTACATTGTGATCTTAAAAATAATTGTCACAGTTCCCTGGGGGCAGGGTCAGAATTCCATGTCTACCTACATCTACTCAATTCAAAATACCAGCGTAACACTTACCACTATAGAGATCAGGGGAACTTAAGGTACCTTTACCTTTTTTTAAAAGCACCATCATTTGTTACATTATATGTAAATTTTAATAAAACTCAATAACAATTATTCACACAGTTTTATTTTATTTAAATGTTATTTTATTCAGTATGTTGCACCTATTCCCCATAATCAACATTCTTAAACATTGGAGCCATCATTGGTAATTGAAGCAATGGTTCTTGAGTCTTTAGTTTCTCCATCATCCCTTTTATGACTACTTAAATTTCTACCCCAGTATTACAGTCATACTGTTAATATTCATTCTGAAATATCTGTAGTTTTAGTACTTTAGTAATTTTATGTAATGTCTAGCCATCTGTACTTAGTCATTTCAAACATTACAAATAGTTTTTTATAATAATATATTTCAAACTGATTTATATAGTGATATTTATCATTGATTTTAAAAAAAACTGTCTAGCTAGCTATCCACACCATGCTTAGTGGTATTGGTACTTAATTTGCATATTGTTTGCCTATATTCTAGGAAAAATTCTTAATGGATCTGTGACCAAGATAAATTTTCAACATAATGTGATTATAGAAAAAACATACTATGGCTGATTATTAGAAAGAGATAACAATTCACTCTCTTCAAGTGTGAGGTCTTTCTTCTTTTCTGTGTCTAGATCAAATTTTAAACTGCCAGAATGAAACCACCTTCCTGGCTTTGTCATTGACCCAAAATAAGTCATTATCGCTACATGTTTCTGGTAGTAGTCAACATACTAGCAGATGGTCCGGGCTCTGTGTCTGTCCACATTCACATAGTGTGTTGTTATCCGCTAAGAGTCTCCATTTGAGCATATTGGTTTTACATTTAGGCAGTCCAACTCTCAACCTATTCATAGTCATCCAAGTAGTATAAGGAAGGACAGATCTTTCAGCCACATTCTCCTTTAATGTTATTCCTTGCTTGATAGTCTCCATCTTTTAATTTGATTTCATTCTTGTGTACCCTTAAGAATGTTTGTTCTTGCCATAAAACTGTTCCTAGATCTGAGTCAGCTTTATGAGGACTTTATAACACTCTAAAAAATTATCTTCAAGCATATTTCATTTCTTGTTCTCCATAAGTGGCAAGACATAAGGAATGGGCTAAAATCACATTTTCCTTTGTGCAATGTCTAAAGTGACTGTAGGGACTGTGGTCAGAGATAATACCGAAGACACATTTTGTTGTGTGAGTTCTTTACCAGTATGAATTGCTAATCTAAGAAAATGTAAATGAGAAAACGTTTGGTAATTAGTAATTTAACTTTGATGGATTACAATTGAATAATCACATTCCTGTGAAACTTTATCATAGCTGCAAATTATACTATGGCTTAAAATAAGAGTGGATTGGCAATACATGAAAATGTAATAGCTTTCAAGTATCAGGAGAAAACTATAGTCCACCTCTGCCATCTTGTGCCCAAGGTTGGAACAAGTCTTGCCATCAAGCAAAATTGAAGATAAAACAATTTAAAACATTCACACTGGGCATAACAATAAAACTACAAAATAACAATTGGAATCTATCAAGCAGGACAACTGATTGAATTTGCCAACTGTGACAATCCCTGGCAAATCTGATCAATTTAGTTGGCTATATACTACACAATTTGCCATGCGAACTAGTCACAGTGGCAAAGTGGGAGCAGTAGGAAAAGAGAAATGAGTATAGATCAGGAAAAAGGAGTCTTTCAAATTTCATTAAGATTCTGTATCTTTTTCTGAATAATTTTAGCATTTATTATCCTAAGATTAATATAAATATTTAGCACAGAAATGTGCTAAATTGGACTTTTTTAGGTTTCAGTACTGGAACAAGTACTAAAGTAATAAAGCTTGCTTCTCTGCCTCTGAAAATTGCCAATCTCTTAATACCAGGTAATCACGATTGTTTTATGGTTCAGGATACTACTGTCCATTTTGATTAGATTAAGCCTTGATTTAAAATTAAGCTTTAATATTTAATATGGATTAATACCACTGATATTTTAAAACATATTATTAAAGCAAAATTTAAAGTTTGATTTTCACTGTTAATGGCAACTTGCTCTACATGGTTTATTTGAATTGCTTTCTCTTCTTTCTCTCTTTTTTTACCCACTACAGAGAAGCTCTCTCAGGTAAAATGGCCAAGTGTTATTACAAGTAATCACTTCAACCATTCTTGTCTTCACATCCTTTTTACGTCATGGGACCTGATGGCGGTTTCCTAAGTACTGGAGTGCTTCATATCATTGTATGGGGTAGCTTGGGAGCCATGGCAATGCTTCTGGTATTTAGTTTTCTCCTCTTTCTCTGCACTGGCTGTGACAGGTAAGGACTTAGCCAAAAAAAAAAAAAGAAAGAAATATAATTACTTTGAAAAGCTTAGCCAATAAGTGAAGGGCAAGAAACAATCTATTCTGAGTTTCATTCAGGGATATTGCAATCTCTTTGAGTATTTGTAATGGATCACTGTATAAAATATATCCAAGGGAAATATTATATTGTGGTTCCTTAATGGGAGCATAAAATCTTGCTCATCAGGAAAAAACAAACAAACCCAGGAGCCTGGTAGCTTTTCCAACTAACAAATTTTAATTCAACCTCCCAGGACACTCCATAACACAGGGGTCCCCAACCCCAGTCTGTGGATCGGTGCCGGGCCACGGCATGCCAGCAACTGATCCACACAAACAAGCAAAGCCCCATCCATGGGATGCAGGCAGCACACAAAATCATGCACTCTCCGGTCCACAGAAAAACCTTTCTCCACAGAACCGGTCCCTGGTGCCCAAAAGGTTGGGGACCTCTGCCATAACAGACCTCAGAGTGGCCATCTTAGGAAAACAGGACTTTAACATCAACATCAAACAATCAATTGATGAACATCAAATTTTATATCAAAAGGTTTCAGAAACTTTCAGAGGGTTTTAGCAAACTGATGGGTTTTTAATGTATAACAATTATTAATTATTAATGTATCGCTAATTTGTCTCACATTTCACATCTGCATAACCAATCCATCTTCCCGTCCCTTCACTTTCCTCATCCCCACATAGATGCACTTTAAATCCTACATCGTTTTAGCTGCTCTGTGCACCTGTTAAAGAGGCTGCAACTCACAAATGTTTATGTGTTTTAATAAAAATGTCTTGGTCAGAAATGTTGCTAGAGTGATAGATAATTTAAAACAAGTGTTTAGCATTTTTATTTGGCTATTATCTCTTCATAAAACCTGATCAAGAATTTCAAAAAAGTTTGGCAAAACTTGTGTAATCCATTTCCATCAAAAGGAAAACAAAGATACACCAAGGATCTCTTAGCAACACAGAGATTAATGTGTTCACTTTGACATGTGCTTTCTTAGAAGCTAATTAAAGAAGTGTCTCACTTATAAAATTATATGAATACTAGTAATGTTTTCAGATTGTAGAACTTACTTTTGGTAGTAATCAAAAAGCTCAAGTTCAAAACATCAGCTGCTCTGTGAATTATATACATCACCTATCTCTTCGGAACAAGAAAGTGCCCCATTGAACTATCTCATAGTAGAGGGAAATTAATAACATTTCCTATGAGATTTAAGAAATGAAGACATTCTTGCAGGTATCGAAGTGGCCAAAAAATTCTGAATTGGCAACAAAAAAAGACTGATTTTTTTTATAATTGTTCAACATCATCCAAAAAAAGGATAGAAAAGAGCATCAGCTTGAACTATATTATTTTCATGTGGAATATCTGAAAGAACAGCAATACAGAATTCAAAACTGAAATATAGTAATAAGCATATCAATACCAGTCAGAAGTCAGAATTAGTCATAACTTACATTATATAAATCTTATTTGTTGAAACTGATTGTGGATATTCCCAACAATATATCTAAATCTGATTTGTATTACAGGGAGAAGAGTCCTGAGCAGCAAAATGGGGACCATGAAAATCTGATGAATGTGGTAATAAAAAGTCTAATAAAAATGTTTTTTCTATAATTTGTAATGAAGCAGAAAGACTGAACTGTGGAGTTGGAGTATTATTTAAGGGTTGTGTATGTATAAATGCTAAGAATGCATTTATGTAATCCTTAGAAAAATGATAAATGATATTTGCCTCATTTTATAGATGAAAAAACTACAGACTACCTAGTCAAGCTGAGCACAGTTATTAGCATACTAGTACATGATTTTCTGATCAAAATTGGTATATGTAATAAACAATATAAAAATAGAATTCTCATACATACTCTTGACAGAAAGAATTTTCACCATTTGAAAAGATATCTTTAGAATTTCAACAGTATGTTTAGTATTTTTAATGCACTTTTGATATCATGATCTTTCCTTCTCTGTAACCATTTCAGGCCAGAGGCATATCCTGCTGAGTTAAGAGGACTGACCTTTATATCAGTTTTTTTAAAAGACCATGAAAATATATATCGTTAAAACAAAATTTTAAATGATTCTTATTTTGATTTTAATACCTGATCAGCAGTATAATCTGTTACTGGGATGGGATGTGCAGCTATATAAATTGAATAAATAAATAATCAGGAACAGATACAAAACTATAATTTAAAAAAACTTTTATTGATATAAGAACTTACATATACACATAAACTTACAGAAACTAAAATCTTAAGACATGTATTTTTATAAGCGTCTTTTTTTAAATGTAGTAAAGAATATTGTATCTTTGACAAAGAAAAGTCTTTATTATAGGAACCTTTTCTGAGTTCATTAACATGTTAGCAGTAGACTTATCTACACATGCTCTTTTTCCCCCTTGTACATTGAAGAATTTCTGTACTCTATAGTCTTCTTCTTCTTCTTCTTCTTCTTCTTCTTCTTCTTCTTCTTCTTCTTCTTCTTCTTCTTCTTCTTCTTCTTCTTCTTCTTCTTCTTCTTCTTCTTCTTCTTCTTCTTCTTCTTCTTCTTCCTCCTCCTCCTCCTCCTCCTCCTCCTCCTCCTCCTCCTCTTCCTCTTCTTTTCTTCTCCTCCTCCTCTCCTTCATTAATTTTTTTTTACCAACAGATTATTCAGTTTAGAAGGCCAGCCCAGGTTCGAATCTCAGAAGGGTATGTCTGGTTGAAAAGAACTAAAAAGTTCGAAATGGCTATTCCAGTTCTCCCTTAATTCGGGAGGATGGCTGACTTTTTCTTCTAAGGAGAGATGAGAAACTGTCCTGAGATTCAGACTATCTAGATATCTTCTGTAACTATTTGATGTTTTTTCAATTCTCACTACTAGAAGTCTTAACATTAACATGTCATCTACCAATCTAGCTAACTAGCTACCATCAGTTATAAAATGGATGTTCATTTTCTGACCAGTTCATGTAAATCCACATTTTTTTTTCAGCCTTCAGATAAAGAGGCATTTAGTCACTCTGTCACAAGTCTGGCTACAGATCCAATTGCAAGCAGTGAACAAAATGGTGGAATTAGTAATGGAGATGGTAAGATTATCATTATGTGATTTCTCAACACTTGATGACTCACCATAAATATGTACATTGCCACTGTATTGTTTTTAAAATGATGCAAGCTCACAATCCTGATTCCATTTACAGTAACTATTGTTACAGAACAGCAATAGCTCAGATAAGAGAATAAATGTCAGTGTAAGACAGCTGGCTGGTAGAGCTCAAGAACAGAGCTGGCTCAGGACCTTGGACAGAACTATATGATTTTGACTTGAATTCAGTACTGTGGCTAGCAGACCTGCAGTTCTTAGTACTGTAGGAGAACCCTAACTAGTGCAAAAACTCAGTTGTTAATACTTAATGCACTACTATAAATATTTTTGATACAAATGACTAGTATAGTCATTCCTTTGGAAACAGTTCATAAAACTAAGGATGTTCTTATTGCACACTAGAAATTGAACAGAGATATAACTATAAATAAGATTTTACTATGGAACAGTCTTTGACACGTCTTATAACAATATATGAAAAAAATCAAGAGAGAATAGAGGAAAGCTACAGAAATTGGACCATAAGTAACTTAAACCCCACTGATTTCACTGGGATACTTCAAGATGATTAGTCAGGATCCCACTCTGCACTGAGAAAGAAAAGAAGAGAGAATATTTATATTGTGATTCTGCATGGAAAAATATTTACTATATGTTATGGTAAGATTATTCTCTGTTATGTAAATAGTGTAAAAATTCAGTTCCTGAGTCAATTACAGGTAGTCCTCAACTGACAACTTACATTCGACTTAAATTCATTTCGTGACCGTTTGAAATTACTACAGCACTGGAAAAAAATGACTTATAACCATTTTTACACTTACAGTTACAACTGTTGCAGCATCCCCATGGCATGTATTTATGACAGTTGCAGTGTCCTGGGGTCATGTGTTATTAACATAACAGCTATAGTGATCCACTTAACAACTGTGGCAAGAAAAGCAAGTAAAGTTGTAAAAGCCATTAAGCAAAACTTACTTAACTTGCTTAGCAATAAGTCTTGCTTAGCAATGGAAACTTTGGGCTCAGTTGGGATTGTATGTCAAGGAACCACCTGTAATAAACTATAATATACAATGCTGTACTCATTACTAATGAGCAAATGTGTATAGAAGAAAATGTAAGTGAAGAAATGGGAAACAGTTAAGTTTACTCACTTTAATGTGTAACTGGAAAATGAACTGGAAAGTCTTCCTGGCTGACTATGCATTTGAAATATCTTAATTTTAAAAAGTGTTGAAAACCTTTCTTTCTAGAAGCTTAAAATAAACATAGTGATATGATGGGATGAATTCCTTAAAGTAAATGTCATAGACTTTGATATTTTTTGACGTAACAGAGGACATTGGTAACCCTTTAGCTGTAGTTTGTCTGCTCCCAAAATTATTTTATTTGTATATATTTACCATAAAAATTGTGTTCTGGCCTTCCAGTGAGTATGATATCAAATCCAAAGGAAAAAAAAGGGATAAACACAAACGATGTCTCAAACATCAGTCTCCCAAACAATGCTGTTGGGATACTAGGCATAGATAGGTCTGACGGGCAGGATCAAAGCTCAGGTAGCTTAAAATGGTAGGAAACTTATGAAATGGAGTTTCTATTCAAAGCATCTTTTAATAAAGGAATTCTTTGAAGCTATTGACAGAGACACTCAAAATGTAAGAATCTATAATGCAGACTACAATACTTTAAAATCAGAAATTGGAATGTAAATTTCATTTTACTTCAGAAAGGTTTACCCAACTTGTTTCTCTAGATAGCTTCCTAAACCCTTCATCCATAGTTTTAGCAAAACCTCTTAGTTCTTATCAATGCTCTAGAGATTTCAGAGCCATGGTTTTGCAGCTTGTGTCACCTCCAGTTCGGAGACACTGTCCTTATCGCTGGCCTTCTGCTTCTCTACACTCACTGTTTCTTACTCACATCCTTCATTCAAATATTCATCCTTAATGCCGTCATCCTTTGTGTTGTTGGTTCTAATTCACATATTCCTTCCCCTTCAATTCCAGGGTAAGTTAGTTTTTGCTCTTGCCACAGTTTCCTCCTACTTGAAGAAATGCTTAGCTCTCTTTTTCTCCTGAAAACCAACTCATCAAAACTATTGTAGCTATTTCCACATTTCTAATTTTCCTGCAATCTCTCTCTCATACAGTCTCCCAGAAAAAAACTCCTTCTTTTGCTTTTGAAAGGGCCAAGGGGATTTCTTTAGCCTTTATCTAAACAAATCTGGTTATATCTCCCTTGCTCAGTAATCTCAAATCGATGTCTGGAAATCAGCTATCAATCTTATGATAACAGGAAATAGTGGAGTGGGAGGACTTGAGCATATCTGGATTTTCTTGCCCATTTTCTTGCCCAAATATGTTAAATAAACTTTAGCTTCTAGAAAAACAAGCCTCTTCCTGAAAAATAAACCCTTTACCAAAGGATGAAGAACTATTAAAAAGAGGAAAAGCCTAGTTTCAAAATAACATAAAGCAATAATCATATCAGATGGCACTAACTCAACCTTAGGTATCTTCAGCCTAATTGTTTTCCCTAGGGGCTTCTGCAGCTAAATCCATTAGAAAAGAAAGATTGGACTGTTATTCACTAGACCTAGATCCAGTGAATTTCTTTTCAAAAGGGAATTCACCAGAACTTGCTTAAAATTAGCCAGGAAAATCTCATTACTAATAAAGTATCAATAGTTTCATGGATCCTGTGGTCTGTTTTTTTTCTCTTCTGGTCACCCAAAGGACTCCAGGATATGTTCAAGCACACAGATAGTGTCTTATTTCAGTGAAATATCAATCACAGTATACAAGTCAAAATGAATCCTAGATAACCATACAAGATACTGTCCCAGTCACCATTTCAAATGATCCTGCCAATAAGGAATAAGATTCTGGTGAAGTTGAGTGACTTTGCATCAAAATATAAGAGAAATTGCTCTCGGTAACTAGGAAGCAAATTTTCTTTTCTCTTTCTAATAGAGATTGACAGATCGACCAATAACCCACTAACACAATAAAAGTGCCAACATTTCATCTTTCCAACTGCAGTTAACAATTTTCATACTTACCAATCCATTCTAAAATATTTTAGTCTATTTCACTGTCTTTCATCTACTAATGTTATCAGTTCTATCCATCCATTCTCTTCTCGATGAAAAAGTCTAAACCTTCAAGAACTGTTGGAAATATGCTGAAGAAATGTCAAAGAAAAACAGATCCAGAACCAAACAAGCTTTATGTGACCACAAAACAAAAAAAAATCCAAATGGGATAAAAAAAATAATGAAGTTAACAAATGAAGAAAAAAAATAAATATGAACCAAAATAAATTTGTATTAGTATTTCCAAAGATGTTCCTTATGTGCCAATATCTTTTTTTAAAATGATACAGATACATAGATTAGTGGCCTTATGAGCCTAAAATTATACTTAAGTATTTATGCATTTATGTAATTTTCTTCTAGTTCTATCAGAAGATAGTACAGCTGCTTCTCTCCAACCTTATGAAGAAGTGCAAACCTCTGTTACAGATCTTTTGGATCAACAGGACACATTGGGTAGATCTTTAAAATGTCATCAAAGCAGAGAGCTACCTAGAATTCCTCCAAATAATGCCATGGAAACAATTCTCACCACAAGAAATGTAGAAAATGACCAGAGTCTTGGAATGGAGGGGCCTTATGAAGTGCTGAAAGATAGTTCCTCCCAAGAGAACATAGTAGAAGACTGCTTGTATGAAACAGTGAAGGAAATTAAGGACCTGGGAGCAGCAGCCAACTCAGAGAAATGCAAACCAAAGACTACTGTAATGGTTAATGGAATTTTAGATCATGTATTTGAAAAGAAGACAGAATCAGCGGAATATGCATCCGTTGACAGAAATAAAAAAAGTTGCCACAGTGTTAATTCAGAGAGTCCTCTTAGCAGTACTACTCCAGATGTGGAAGAAGAAGCTCCACCTCCTGTGCCAATAAAACTTCTTGATGAAAATGAGAATGTACAGGATAAAGGAGCCAAAGAAGAGGAGGAAGTAATGGAAAGGCTTAATGAACCCGACAAGGTACATGTTATTTTGTGTTATCAGTATAAGAAAGTGAAGTTGTAACTTGAAAGACTTGAAGTATGTACTGTATATGGCAAATGCTGTTGTTCATTAGTAAATATAAATATAAATTCTTTTTCTTGGTATCTTCTGCTGATGCAAAATCTTAAGATCAAAACTAGCAGTATTTGTGTGATCTATATATAATGTGTCAATGTTCAGCTGTGCATTCATAAATGAAATATAATATTCAAGTGGCTAGATTGAAGAAGGCATGGAATCGTATGCAGTTGGTGATAGTTTCAAGGTACTGAAATTTAGTGCTTCTTAAATTTTTAGAGACATTTGCATGAATATTTTTTCAGCATCTACCCAGGAGACACATGCTTGCCAACTGATCATTAATTAGTCTAATTAGTCTGTCCCTTGTTTTGAAATATTCCAGATAATCTGCGTTAGGAACAGAAGGTATTCAAAGTGTTTCTGTTGGCCAACATCTAGCCAGCCAATAAAACACAAAATGTAGGAGAGAGCAGAATCCTGGAGTGGCATCTAAAATTGAATTTTGCTAATGTGGTACGGGGTTTTTTTTTTCTCTCTCCTCTCTTCTGCAGAGTCTCAAAAACCTTCAACATTTGTTCCAGAAAGACAGAATGACTCACGCCCTACTGTTTTCATTACTGTTCATGAAAACTTGCAATTGTATTTTTCCCCTGGCCTCCAGATTTCTGATCCAATTTTAGATTTAAGTGTATCCATAATTTTAATTTGTAATGAAAGCAAAGAACTTTTTCTAGTTCTTACCCCAAAGGTCCAACTGCATATAACAGCGTGAATTTCTATTAAGTAGATTACAGATCAAAATATGTCAAATATTTTAATTTTTCAGAAATGCAATCTGTCACATTTTAAATAATATTAAAAACTAATTTGAATAACTCCTTAAAGAGAAAAGCAACGACTTAGGGAGTTAATTATCCCTACAAGTCTATCCAGGATAGTGGCTTTCAAATGATAAACAAATTAGTGGTGTTTTCCTGACCCAAATATTAGAACTGTATAATTATGATGCTGAGGAGGAGGAGGAGAAGGATGAAGATGATGGTGGAGTGTTTGCTGGAACAAAACATATTTGATGATAAACAATTCAAAGAATTCACTAGTACCACCCAAGTGATTGGAAAATGCTCATGTCTTATTCCTCTGTTTTCTTCCATACCTCATACAATTAATCTTAACAAAATTATCATAGAAGTAAAACTAAGTAAAACTGTTAGCCTTTTTTTTCCAGATCAGTTGGCCAAAGTTCATGGCTGGATGGGGGAGGGGGGAGGAGAACTGAATCTTAGTCTGATTATTCTACATGAGTTAAATGCAGCAGGAATTAAACACACAAAGACAGAGACAGTAGGTTTTCTTCGTATTATATTTAAAGTATTCCAAATTTCTTAACAGCAAAAATTTTAAAGTTAAAAAAATAGAATTAATATAAATTTCTTTGCTCCAATTCCATGAATGCTCATCAATTGATGCTAATCCAAACTGGAAAAATATTTTTGGAGTTGTTATTATTCCAAATATTCAAAATTTTTAGTAGTGTAAAATACAAAAATACAAAAGAAAATAACAGGAAAGTAAGGGAGGAAAACGGGAAGGGAAAAGTATAGGACAGTGGTGGCGAACCTATGGCACGCATGCCAGAGGCGGCACTCGGAGCCCTCTCTGTGGGCACATGTGCCGTTGGCCAGCCCCGCCTCCCCCTGCAGCCCCCTTCTCACCAACAGCCCCCCTGGAGGACTGTCGACTCCAGGCACAGCCTGCATGGAGCAGTGCAGCCAAGGACATAGCCGGGCAGCAGGGACAAGACTCCGCTCTCATGCCCCATAGCATGCAGATGATTATGCGGGGTGTGGGCGGAGGGCATGGCTGCCATGGCACTGCAGGACTGCCTGGACCTTTTCAGTTAGGTTGATTCAGGTTGGGGATAGAATAGAGATGGCATTGATTGCACATCTGACAGAAGACATAGCTGTAGTGCAACTGTCTTGGTTCTTTTTTGCTTTTCTGTCACCTTTCTTCATTATATACTTCTGCATTGACTGCAGGGAGTAGGAACAGGAGACATGGTGATTGGTGACAGGGTGATGGAGAGGTTAAACCTGAACTCTGTGATTTGTATGATACCACATCTTCCCTTCCTGCTTAAGATCTACATGGAGATGCTAAGGGAAGTCATCTATCAAAATAGGATCAAGTATCATCAAAATGGTGATGATACCCAGTTATATATCTTGATCCTGGCATGATCAAGGGGTACTGTGGATATTTTGTCCCAGTGCCTGAAGACTGTTGGGTCCTGGATGGAAAGGAATAGGCTTAAACTCAACCCTAATAAGTAGTTGTGTGTTCTTTGGATTTTCCATCCTTGGTTCTGAATGGGGTACAATTATGCACATTGGTGCACAATTTGAATTGAAGCTCTTACTTGTACGTTAGGTGGCAGCTGTGGCCAGGGATGCTTTTGCCCAGATTTATTTGGAATGTTCGTTCTTTCTTTGTCTTTCTTTCTTTTCACAATCAGTCCCACCCTAGTCATCTCATGTGTAGACTATTGTAATGCATCCTACATGGGGAAGTCACCGAAGTTCAATCAGAAAAGCTGTTCCAGATTCTGGCAATGCAGACAGTTATGGGAACCCCTTGCTATGCCCATATAAAATTTTTGCTACATGAGTAGCATTGCTTCCGGTGCAGTTCAAGCTTCCGGTGCAGTTCAAGCTGCTAGCTGTGACACACAATATAAAGATCTTGGCAAAGAATCTTGCTATTCAAAGGACTGTCTTTCTTCTATTACGTCTGCTTGGCCAGTAAGGTCTGGCTGAGTGGCCATGCTCCAAGTCTTTCTTTAAAATAATGTCATCTAATGAAATCCAGTTAACTTAATTCCTTGGTCACAGCACTTCCCCCTGAAATAGTATCCCCCAAGAGGTTCACGTTGGTCCAACCCTGCTCTTCTTTAAATAAGCCTGGAAGACCTGGCTTATTTCCCCTGATTGATGAAGTGTAATTTTATTAATGTACTAGATGTATGAATCTCCAGGTTATTGTTTTCCTTTTGCTTTTATTGTGGTGGATGTATTTTAACTTGAATAACACTCCAGAGTCTTTATGACTTGAATAGCCTTATAAATCTGATTTACAAATAAACAGATGATTCTGTTAAGACAGAGAAGCATTTGAAAACTGAAGCATAAAAAACATTTGGGAAAGGTCAAAGGTTTATCAATTTTGTCATTCTGCAAGCATTCACTATTACAATTTTGCCTCCCCCCCCCAAATCCTACAAACTGGAAATGTGCCTGCCTGTTGTTTCTTTGCAGCCCCAGCCATATTTGGCCCATTTACAAACTTGATCTTTCTTTTGACAGCTTCTCCTCCCACTCCAAATTAACCAATTCTGTTTCATTTTCAGAGATTATCCTGCTGAGAGACAGCCTGTCAAATGAGTGGACAGAGTCCTGAACCCATTCCAAATAGCTGCATTCCAAATATTGTTATTTGAATCTGATTTTTTGTATTAATAATAACAAAAAAAAATCCACCATGGGTTAAAGGAAAAAGCCTGGGTTTAGTTATATTTTTATTGTATTGTTTGGGATTCCTTATTTATTTATTTGTTTGTTTGTTTATTTTCCTTCCTTCCTTCCTCTTTCTCTGTAGAAAACAGCTGTTTCATTTTGAGTACTTAATTGTAATTTACCTCAGAATATAAAGTTCAAACTGTCTCAGGTTGAGACCATCTTATTTCCTGGACTTTTAATGCACCATTATGTCATCCAATTATTATATTGCTTGCTAGGTTTCATTTTATGTTGTGTTTTATCTCTAATTGTGGGGGTTTTTTTGTATTGTTTCACAGTTTTATATTATCATTTGGGTTGTGTGAAAAAAAGGATGGAAATAAAATTACCAAAAATCACAGCAAAATAAACTGCTGTGAACAATTAAGTATTTTTATGATTCTGAGTTGGGCTGTCAAGTGAGTTAATTGAACAAAACTTGAATATTTTGTTAGATCTAAGAAGACACCACTGAAATAATATCGATTATAGAATTCAATAAAAATGCAAAGGAAATTCCTACATCAGAAACTTTGTTACAAATGCTTAAATATAGACTTCTGCTGTCTTAATCATGTTTCAAACATTTAATAGAATTCAGTAGAACAGATATCAGTGCCGTTATTTTTGCCACATATAAAAATTGTTTCAGTCTGCTTACCTTCGAAACTGGGCTATTAATTTCAGCTACTGAAAAATGGACAATTATTCTTTTATTTTTGTATTGAGGAAGGTGTTAGTTTTTAAATAAGATGTTATTTTCTATCTTTTTCAGAGACTTAGTTCATTGATTTATAAATCTCGAGAAGATGACCCATCTCTTACAGAAGATGAGGTGGGTCTGTCTTGTATGAAATATATTCAGAAAATGTTACCTGAATAAAGCAGTATTAAGTGTTCTTTGATTAAAAGAAGATCTGGAAATAATGGCTCAAATGCAAATGGGTTACATGATTATTTTTGCCAAATGCCTTTATATCAGTTTCAGCCTTTCACAGTGGAACTGTTTTGGGTCACTGACTATTATTTGGGACTCCCTTCTTGGCTATTTAAGAAGTGTCAACACTGATATAGATATAAGCCCATATAAATATCTGAAGACTGCACACATTAAATTGTAGTTGATCCTGCCTTCTTATTCTGTCCCTTTATAACACATGACAAAAACTGTCAGGGCTGAGAAGAACTTTTAAAATGAAGTATAATATGATAAAAGGATTTGCATCTGAACCAGAAAACATCCTTATTGCAGGAAATGAAAATTCTTTAATTTCACAACATATACCCAGATTTAATCATAGTTTCAATTGGGAAAATGTGATCAGGGAATTTTTAGAAGCTTGACAAATCAGCCATCAATAGACACATAGACATTAACAACATCTATAGACTATGCAAAAGAGACTCACCAAGCCCAAAAGGGAACAAAAAGACCTAAGCACCTCTCCACCAGCAATCAGCACCCAGATCAGCATAGTTTAATTCCAAGGTTAACTTCAGACCAATAATCATGTAAACAATACCCAATCAATAAACTGCTAATGAAGCCAATAGCAAACAGCCCAACCAAAAAATCTCTTAAGAACCTTCCCACCAATACTGACAGGCAACCCAATAGAACAGTGGTGGCGAAGCTATGGCACGCGTGCCAGAGGCGGCACTCAGAGCCTTCTCTGTTGGCACATGCGCCACCCTCACCAGCAGCAGGTGCATCAGGCCACCACTGCTGCCCGGAGCAGGAGCCCCACCCAGCACAAAGGAGGTGAAGCGGCTGACTAGCAAGCTCGAGTAGAGGTGTTGTTGATTGGTGGACTGGAAGAAAAGGGAGGGGGAAGCATTTTACATGCGTGCGTGCATGGAGCCGCGAGCACACACGTGCTGCAAATGGGGCGGGGCTAGTGCCTGCGTGATACTCACTAGCCCTGTCCCGTTCTTGCATGGTGCAGCGCCTTGTATCTGCACTCCACGGCACGGCCCTTTTTGCGCCTTACAGCACGGTGGCCCACTTTTGCATTCCCGGTTTTTGTGTGCCAGAGGCGGCACTCAGAGGCGCCTCCCTGCCCCCCCCATGAGGGCACCACAATGCTGATGCGGCCCTGGCACTTTGCGATAAATAAGTGGGTTTTGGGTTGCGGTTTGGGCACTCAGTCTCTAAAAGGTTCGCCATCACTGCACTAGAATATAAACTGATGACAAAATGCACTTCTTACTAGCACTGATAATGTTACCTAGTTTGGGTAATGAAACAGCTGCAAGAAAACAAGCAAGCTCAGAGAGCACTAAGGACCCCTCATTTCAACCCTGAACTACAAATATTATCATTTATTGGTTTCTTAGGACTATTTAAGTCTAATGTAGAGTGGAGCATATATGCTTCAGTCAATTCAGTCAAAATAATAAATACATTTTCCAAACTGTCAACCATAGCATTGTATATTGGATTGAACTCCATTCTGTAAACATTTTATGAACACCCCCCCCCCTTTTAGTGCAAGCAACATTGAATGCTTACCACACTATTGCTTTTCAACAATGTGGTAAATTTATCATGCCTTGCCATTTTTAATGGCAAACATTAGAAACATTTTACTAGGTGGCTTTTTTACAATGGAGAATAGTTGTATTTCTCTAAGTCCTACTCATATATCCTGATGTCAACCCAACAGAGATGTATCAAGAACTTGCCTTCTGAGCAAAACTCCCTTCCCTTTTTCATATACCATAATGGAAAGCTTTTGTGATTATATATGAGCTGTAAAAACATGATCTTTCCAGGGATACTACATAAACCGATATCAAGCTCATTTTCAGTTTAATAGGCCATGTTTTGTTAGATCAAATAACTTGAAATAAATTATGTGTGCTACTATATTATTCACTGAATATTAAAATAATAGCTTATAAAAATATTTGTTATGTTTCAATGCAATTACTATATTTCTTCCCTTCATAGATTTCAGCAATGTATTCTTCTATAAATAAAACAGGACAACCCTCTAGAGACTTGGAATCTACATATACCTGTATTCCTGAACTTGTACCTCAGAAGTCTCCATCTATTTGCAGTGGCCTCTATGCCAGTGTGAAGGACTTGGAAACCAATCCAAACCTTACTGATTTGCCTCAGTCAACAATACTTCTGAATGGGGACTTGGAACCAGACTATGAAGCCATTCAGACTCTAAGTCGGGAGGAGGAAAGAAATGTTTTGATGTCTAGCACCATTCAATCCATCCTCCCACAAGAAAATGACTATGAGAGTATTGGTGATTTGCAGCAAAATAAACATGTCACCAGGCTTTAACTGATTCAAATGCAAGACTTTGGAATATGCTGTTCAGTGGATCTTTCAAGATGGGTTTACTCCATGACTTATCACTTGCAAACTTAACACACAGTTGGAAATGTAAAATGGCCAAAACGTATTTTGCTTGAAATGATATCAGGTAACATGAAAGCTTAGCCTGGGATGTTTGATCAATGATTCCTGCTTCATATCCATTAAACTATCATACAGATATGAATTTACCCTAACAAGCAGGAAACAGGCAAGTGCTCCTTTTGAAGAACCAAGATCACATGGATGAAAACACACACACACACACAAAGAACTGCTGTTTTATCAATGTGTACAATGATTTTTCAACTCCCATAGGTGATGTTATCACAACAACAAATACAGTAGATAAAATCGGAATCAAAGATGAGGGTCCTGGAAAGACTTCTATAGAAGAGACATGTTGAACCAAGAGTGATATGTCTGGAGCACATGATCAAACACATACTCATATGCTAATATATAAAAAGTGGTACTGTTAAATAAGGGCCTTTTTAAAAGATCTTTATTTTCAGTTACTTCAACCATTTTATTAAAATATATTCCCAAATTACAAGTTCATTTAGGTTGTTTTTAAACATAGGCACAGCTTGCCATAAAGAATAGATACATTTAGTGGGCTAATTTGCCTTAATATGTTGTTTGTCAACCATGGAAACTTTAAATTGTGTGGATTCCAACTCCCAGAATTTCCCAGTCAGCAATAGGAAATTCTGGGAGTTGATGTCCACACAGCTTAGAGTTGTTAAGGTTGAGAAACGCTTCCCTAATATATTTAATGCAGCCATGAGATGTTGTGACTGAATGTGCTGGCCTATTCTCAGGTTCATGCTTCAGTTTCAATCTTGCTCTAAAGCAACACAAGAGCAGTGAGTGAAACACTGGCATTTGTGGGAACTAGGAAAGACAGTCCCTTTCTGAGGAACTATAGCAGATGTGGTTGAAGAAAGCCATGCACATCTTATTTGCTTCATGGCTGGTTTACAGACTGGCTATGTAATTCCTGACTATTTTTAGTTTTTCAATACCTATTTTCTTCCAATATAATATTATGCTAGGAATGATTTACATTTAAAGCTTCAGTTTTTATTACTGATGATAGAGTCGGGATATTTAAAAATATATTTAATACATGTACACTTTCTGCTTTTCAAACACTACCAATCACTTTTATTTTTATCCTTAAATGTATTTTGAAACCTGCCCAAACAGACTGCAACATTTTGCAGAGGTTATAATTCCCTCTGAAACAAAAATGCATCTTTAAGAAGTATCTTTTTATATAAAATTGTAAATAAAAGGTAAGACATGTTATAGACTCTGGAGTTATTTAATGAAGTATTCAGGATACTTGAGTCTAAAACAGATGTAAAGATAAAATTATTTAATTAAAGTGAAAATTAATACAAATAAAGGAAAATAATGTTATTCTTAGTAATCTACAATTTTAGATATTCCCAAAATCACTCTTGACAATATTCATGTTCACTTGTTCAATCTGGATTTGCAGCCAACTCAAGTTAGCTACTGCCACTGAATTGTTTCTTTTATAGCTAGGCAAGATTTCAGAAAGTTTTGAACCAGCAACCATAGAAACACAAAACAACAGACCTTTCTTGCAGAGACTGTAAATTCCACAGTATTACCCAAAAAGTGATACTGTGTTTGGTTTTTATAAAGATTAGTGCCAATACTTAGCATGTGACTTTCTTCCAATCCATTTTACCAAAATAGCATGTGTAAAATTGTACCTTGCTTTCCTGTCTTTATATCTCCACTCCCTTTCTTCTACTCAGGTTTATTTAGTTGATTTGCATAAAAATATCTTGCAGCATTGAAAGATAAATACGTTTATTACAACTTAAGATTTTGAATTAGATTGTCACTTTATTCAACCTTTGTTAGGCACCACAAGATGTTTAATCTGTTGCTTAAAAGCAATAAATATGGCTGACTCTAGAAACTGATCCACACAATTTCGAAAGGATGTGACATTTAAAAATTTCCTGAATAGATACTGTAGAATTAAATATCACTTTATGTAAACGAGAACTGCATGTCTCCAACAATCAGAGATAAATCCTGTAAGGAGCTTTATTGGGAATAATGCAGCTTTTTGAATGAAAAAAAATGCATATTAATTTACTGAATGTTGTATCAGACTGAATCAAATCAAATCAAATCAAATACCACTATTTAACATAAAGTTGATATGTAAGCCTACAGTATTAAAGTAGTTGAATGAATATTAATTCCCATCTTTTGCACTGGTGAAAATACTGATCATAAGTGGGTTGAGAGAGAAAGAGGGTAAGAGGAAGAGAGGACTGCTCATATATTTAGCATTTAGAAAATTTATTTTCCAAAGCTTTTCATAGGAGTTCTGCATATAATAAATGTCCTAAGATGTTGGCTTACATTTCAATATGCTATTTCACATGAACATTTCATCCCTGCTGAGTTAAAAAAAAATGATTCGGCGGGCTACATTTGAAATAACCACCTCCTACTAAGCTTTCAGGAAACTTGTATACTAATAAAAATGCATAATTCTGTGGAGAAACTCTGGATCCCATCAGCCTTCCTCCTGTGAGGAGTTTTCACCACAGCCATCTGTATGAGGAACATCTTATTTTAAAATATGTAGCAGAAAGTATTTATGAACTCATCTTCCAGAATAAATAGTCTCCTAAGGTATAATATGATGATAGGCATCTTGTTCCTTTGAGCATAAAAGACTGTGCCTTCACAAATTTACCTTCCACAAAAAGTCTGGACCGCTTCTGACAATAGAAAACTTGGTGCATTTTCTTAAAACTGTACTATGGTGCTGTACAAAATTCTTTAAAAATATTTCATTGTATGTGTTTCTGATAGCTTGTTCGTACTGCGTTTTGTTTTGGTTTTGTTTTTTAAAAGGGAGACTTTTGTCTACTAAATTATCTATATTGCATAGTTTGGGATGCTTAATTTCAAGCAATGCTTTAGGGCACTACAAGGAGCACCACAGGCATACTTAGGAAGTATTAAAATGGGTGAGTTTTTCTAAAGCACAATGAACTACCCACAAAAAGAGAAGAAAGGGGTATTCCTGGTTGGACCTAAGAAGTAGTAGTAAGCATCTAGTGGCAGTAGTAAGAAGCAAGGAAAGTTAACTGTATTGCAGATACATATTTGCTGGCCTTGTGTTATATATGTGGTGTGTGTTTTACCTGGATGTTTTGTTTTTTATATGTACGCATTTGTTTTTCTTAACAAAAGAAAAATATTTGATTTGATGTTTTGTACTTCTGCCTTGTATCTGGTTTCTGTCAATCTATTTCTGCAAAAGGATATTAAAGCCGAAAGGTAATAGATGTCAGTATATTGTATGGAGGTTCTTGACTAAGTAACTTTTTCTTTAATCTCAGCAGTTGCCTTTCAGGACTGGTAAAATACCACTACACCACTGCAAACAGGCAGCTCTTTTGTGAGAATGCTCACAATATTGTCAAATCTCACCAACCTCAAAAAGTTAGGAACGACTTTGCCTTGATAGTTTTGAAATCTAATTTGTTTTTGAAATCTAGCAGTGCTTTTATTTGAGAAAAGAGTGGAGTGTATTATCAAAGAATAAGAAAAAAGTTTCTGCATTTGTTTGCCCAGTTGTAGTTTGATTTCATATTTGATTGCCTTCTGTTTGTACCATTATCGAGGACAGTTCCTCTAGTGACAGTAATTATAAAGCACTTTCATGCTTAGAAAAAATATATCTCTGAATATCAGGTGCAAGGACAAAGCTTTCTCTTTAAATGCCCTTTATATAATTGGCCACTACTGGCAGCATATAGTCATGGGTCAATCCATAAATATTGTCAATAAGTTCAAAGAGAGGGACAGTTATTCCAACTTAATGTACTTGAATTGTTTGTCTTAGAGGTAAAATTTTAGTCCAGAAAATAAAACTTAAATTTTAATAGAAGAGATTAAAAGATGCACTCAGGGAAATTAGAAAAAATACTGTTTTTCGGTGGTTTTAAGCATTAGAGGCTTAATCAAGAGAAAAGATAATGGAGTGCTTCGTGTAAATTATGCTTTGGAATCAGAATTCTTGACAAGATACTAACTTGCATCATGAAACTGTATATACCAAGTCCTTCTCTATATATTTGTTGCTTAAATTTTTGAAATGATCTTCTATTATTTATTTTTATAACAGATGGTTCCAGATTGGTCCTTAAAGTGTGGCTCTAAGTTTGGTTGTCACAATTTTGAACATTATCAAAAAAAAAATTTGCCTTACACTTTTCTCCTATGGATGCCCAAATGCTCATATTAATTTATGAAGTATTTAATATACTGGAAGTAAAAACCAGTAGAAAAATGTGAAAGGTGGACAAATTTAAAAAATGTCTAAGTACTCCTCTTTCTAAAGTCTGACAATAAGTGATATGCTTCCTTGGAACTGATTGTATTAACAGATGTGTTTGGCTTTTAATTTGGTGATGCTATTTTTCCCTCCAAATGTCATGCTAGTATTCTCCTCTATTACATTCCACTTGCTTCTTCTAAACAGAATTGCCAGAATTGGAAAACACCTATCTGATGAATGATCTTCTGCCATTATAACATAATATTTGCAAAATTTGTAGAATTTAATCTGCCAATGACCTTTCTTGTTTTTAAAAAATATCTGGAACAAGCCAGCATCAAGACACACAAAACATATTCATCCATTAGCAAGCAGGCAGATTTAAATATAGTCACATAATATTACTATATAGTATCCAACATATACCCACCAGCTCCTCATACTTTCATTTAAGAGATATTGGGACTTGATTAATATTCATTTAAGAGGCATACTGATATCGCTCAAATATACACTGATTAAAGACGGCTGTACCACAAAATAGATTTTTTAGGAACAGATCAATTATTTTATGATTGATTTCACAACAGAATAACATTTGCCCAAAGTAAGAACTCACATGATGCATTTAAAAAATAATCAAGCCAAGAATTTGCCAAATCCTTAACACTTCTGTGATTGAAAAGTATGCATGAACAGAAAAAGCCCAGTAAA